AGCCTCTGGAATCTTCTTTCTGAGACTTCCCATAGGACTTCTAAACTCTCCTTAATCAGGGAAGACTGCAAGAGCAAAGGCTTCTTATTGATGGGTTTTAAAAAAGTGGACAGACCATAGATAAAAATCATAGTAAAAGTGGGAATTTGAGGAAGGCCTGTTTGCTCAGGAAAATTTTCTAAATTTCAAGTTTATAACTGAAAGTGTAGATGACAACTCAGGCAGGATGTGGTTTAGATTGGCTTCTTCATGACCATAATTTTTTCACATAACAAGATAAGTAGTACTCATAGAGCGATGTAGAGAAAATCATTTTGTTTGAAAGAATAAATTGTTCAAGCATTTTTAGGCAGTCATTCAATTTAAATAGCTACAGACAACCCTTATCTGTTCAGTTACAGACAATCTTTATCTGTTCATGGCAAGTAGCCACATACTTTTCATCGATATCCTTTCCTGTAGCTCTCCAGTGAAGAGTTGACATTAAAGTTCCAGGGTGGAGTTGGAGTAGTTTTGTTTTCCTCCAGGGGACACAAGAGCAGAGAATGGATCAAACACAAACACAAACAGGGAATGGATAAAGCGTCACTCTTTAATGCCACCTCCTGGAGCCTATCTGAAACTCAAGAGTGAAGAAAGTAAAAGATTCTTAGGCAAAACAGGGCACTAAGGATAACCATCTCTTATTTTCATTCCAGACAGGGTTTGGCCTGGCAGTTCAAGCTGATTGCATGAAGGAGTGGGTAGGTGGAGATGTCAGATTGCCTTTGAATTCTTTGTTTTCTAACCAGAGGGGAGACAGCTCTTTCAACAGAAAGTCCCAGCAAATGCAACAACAACAGTGGCCTGGTGTGCCTCTGCTTGCCTTGGCTGCCTCAGAAGGAGCCCTGAACCTCCCTCATATGGCGTGTCTATGAAACCAACTAGACGCAGTCTTATTATTTATCAGAAGTCACCAGGCAAGCAGTGACAGGATTCCCTCAAGGAATTATCCCAGGGATTCCCTCCCTGTTTTCAATCAGATATCAGAGAATTACAGCAGAGAAATACAAATTCCTTATACAAGAAGCAGAGTAAGTAATTCATATCTGTAGATTATATAATACTGATTAGTGCTTCTGTTGTCAAAATTATTTGCCTTCATATAGGATGTATTAAGTGTTTCAATGTTTATAGAGAATTTAAAAAGTAGATATTATAGTTATGGTGAAAATCCTCATTTTGCAGAAGAGAAAACAGAGCATTGCATATGCAAATTAATCTACCAAGGTCCACAGCTATTGAGTGCAAAGCACAAGATTTGAACCTGTTTGAAAAAAATTGACAAAGTCTCAGGGCCTTGTCCTGGGTCCATTCTTTCCATTTAGTCACATACTTTCTAACTCATTTATTCATTCCTTTAGCAAGGATGAATAGAGCACCTGATGTGTTACAAGCACTACTCTAGGTACTTAGATTATGTCACAGAACAAGAAAGACAGAAATATTTGCCTCTGCAGTCAGGTACAGAATAAAACATGTTTAATATCTCCCTTTCCATTGTCACCCAAACCACCTATGCAAAATTTTCCACTTAGAGTGTTATTGTGTAGGGGAGGTGGGCATGAACAACAGCCAATAATCACAATTTACATACTAGATAAAAGGTACCAAGTGATCTGGAAGAAAGAGGAGGGTAAAGGACAGCAGAAGTGTTAGGTAGAAGGACAATTACAGTTTTAAGTAGGATGACTATGGTAGTCCTCATTGAAAAGGTAAATTTGAATTTGAAGAAGGCCAGAGAGGCATTTGGGAAAGAGCTTTCCAGGCAGAGGACAAAGCAAGAAAAGAGATTCTAAAGTGCTGGGCACGGCTAGAGCATGTGAATGAGGGGAGAGTAGTGGAAGCTGATAATGGGGCCAAATCATGGGGGGCCATACAGGTCATTGTGATGACTTAGGCTTTTACTCTGTAAGAACTGTAAAGTCATTGCTGAGTTTTGAGCACAGAAGTGGCATAATCAAATTATATTTTTTCAGTGATTCCATTGGCTGCTGGGTTGATACTAGTTTGAAGAGGGCCAGGGTAGGAGCAAGAAATTCAAAGGCATACAGCAGAGACAGTAAAATGTGTGCATGAAAGCCTTCCATTTTGTCCTGGGTATACATGAAGACACTTCACATTCTCTTTTTGCAGTGAGGTGAGCATGATATGACTCAGTTTTGCTTAGAAGTGGTGTCACCATGTCCAGGCCTGGTCCTAAAACCTGACATGTGTTCTAAACTCTGCTCCTTCTGCAGCAAACATTGAGACCTTGTATTGAGGATGAAAGCATTGTGGAGTGGAAGGAGCTGAGGTCCTCAATGACAACAGCATGGAGCACAACCACCCCTTCCCATGCCAACCACACTGGACTGTGACTCGAGTCATTTTGAAAACTATAAAAAAGAACAAAGAAGAACATTTCGAATAAATGTTTACAAGAAAAAAACATTTTGAAAAAAAGTTTACAAGAACTTCTGAAAGAAGCATTATACATAGAAAGGAACAACCAGTATGAGCCTTTCTAAAAATATACCAAAAAGTAAAGAGCATCAACATAAAGAAGAATTTGCATCAACGAATGGATAAAATAGCCAGTTAACATCAAATGGCAGTAACCCTAAATATAAATCGACTAAATCCCCCAATCAAAAGATACAGCCAAAACCTAATGGTATATCCAAAGATACACAAAGACTCAAAACAAAGGGTTGGAGAAAAATTTACCAACCAAATGGAGAGCAAAAATAAATAAACAAACAAAAAGCAGGAGTTGCAATTCTCACATTTGATAAAATAGATTTCAAAGCAACAAAGATACAGTGGTAAAAGGATTAATGCAACAATAAGAGATCTTAATACCCAGATACATAAGACCCATAACGAGATTTAGAGTCAATGAGACAGAAAATTAATAAGAATATCCAGGACTTCAACTCAGATCCAGAACAAGTAAACTCAATAAATATTTATAGAGTTCTCCATTTTAAATACACAAAATATTGATCGGCCATTATTAATACCCATTTTTAGAATGAAGCAATATTCCTGTTCTCTCTCCCTCTTTTTCTTCCTCTTTCTTCCTCTCCTTCTCTCCTTTTTTTACTTTTCAACATCCTAGTTCCTCACCGCTAAAAAAAAAAAAGCGTTTCCCTGCAATTGTGCTCCTTACAAATGGAAAGGTTGTTTTTCATTGTTTCTCTTCTAAAATTTGATCACTGAGACTCTCTGAGGTCCTGAAACACCTATGTCCTTCAGCAGTGCTTCTCACCCTTGCCTAATGAGAACAATTGCCAAGGGAGGTTGCTAGAATGCGTATTCCCAGACCCCAATTCAAACCTAGTAACAGGGCCAAGCTCTTCATTAGCCACAGTAGGTATGGTGCCTAGGAATCCTGGTACTTTTAGGGATCCAAGACAATGCACTAATTTCTTTTGAAATCTGAAGACAAAATACAATCCATCCTGAATTACATTTGTCTTTATATCAATACAGTCAGAAAATATAATGTTTAATATTTTTATGGGTAAAGGAGTCCATTGAATATAATAGTGCCTGGAGCCCTTGAAAATAAAAATGGGATCCAACCTAGTAACAAAAAAAAAAAAAAGAAAAAATTCCCTGTCCCTCTCTATTTCTTTCAACCTCGTTGACAGTGATTGCTGAGATTCACTTCCTGTTTTCATTTTTCAAAGAAAGAAGAGCAGGGCACAGGTCAAATGCACCTCTTCTCCACATCCCCCCAAAGGTGCTTAAAATCATGCCTCTGTGCTATCACACTTTTCAACATCACAACATGCCTCGGGGACATCAGACACTTATGATGGAGAATCTCTAAGTCACTGTGTGCCTAATGTGGAAAACAAGACAATACTATAACACCAACAATTATTAAAATTAAAACAAATTTGTTTTCCCTTTCTTTCTAAAAATATATCAAATTATTGTCAAGGTTTCCTTGAACATTTCAGCATGTTTACTATTTGTTGGAATTCTTTTCTAAGCAGATTATCATTCACGACACCAGTTCTTGAAAATTATTTAAACTCCCTATGCCACCAAACATATAGAGAGAAAGATAGAGAGATACAGATAATCCTCTTATCTTCCTTCAGTTTGACATTTTATCAGATATCTGTTTTTAGAAAATTTCAAAGGTAGAAACCCAATTAGCATTAATGATAGAAAGTAAACTTTTCCTAAAGAAATTAGCATAATTCTCCCTCGACAACCTCTTAGACATAGAAAAGGGGAAATGGGGATTTATATGCTTACTATATGTAGTGGGACTACACTGGGAACATTATTTAGAATATCTGATTAATATCTTCAGCATTAGTCTTAGCTCACCATTAAGGTAGAAGGAGCCAGTACTAGTACTATCTTTGCTGACAAACGGTAAGCAGACTCAAAGAAGTAACATGACTGTTGCCATCCCACACTGCCAGGAAGAACATATCTGGATGTGTGGGCCACATCACAGCAGATGCTATTATTTTCTTTTCCTGAAACAGTTAGAGGTAGAGAAACATTGCAAAACTGATCCAGTTTTGGCACAACAATTGGGAGACGCACAGTAGCACAGGGTTTTAAGAAACCACCATTGGATTTGGCCGGAACTGGGTATGGATCTTGGTTTTGTCACTTTCTGGTTGTGGTCCTTGACAATGTTGCTCAATCTCTCTCTGTATCCTTAAACATCAGTAATGGCTATAAAATATTTAGCACAGTACTCTGGCTTACTATGAGTACTCAAATTGTAGCCACTGTGGGTTTATTCTAGTACCACTAAAAGGTCTCCTGATTTTGAAAAGAGGATCCCCAGAGCATTGTGTGGCCCACTTACAGATTTGTAAAATGTCCCATTTACCTACATCCCCAGTATCTGGTGAGTACTCTCAATAGGCAGTGATCATGTGTCCTTCTTGAAGGTCATAACCTAGCTAAGTCGGGAGGATTCTTCAGGGGTTTAGGAGAGAATGCGAGAGTTGACTCCTGAAAGTGGAAAGGAAACCACCTGGCTATCTCCTGTCTTTGCCGCTCTCCTTTCTGATAAGGAGGGCTCTGTGAATGGGAGGGAGCAGCATGCTTGTCCATACTGTGGGCAAGGAGGGATGGATGGTAGGAGAGTCATGTGAGAATCATGGAACAAAGATGGAAGGCTAGAGGGCAGCAGGAAATCTAATTAGCACTAGTCAATTATCTGTTCTATGCAACTTGATGAGTTTGCTATCAGAGGCAATGCAAAAACAACAACAAAAAATTTGTTTTTCATCTTCATCTCTGTGAGCTCCTATGGTGCAACTGTCAGAAAGCACTTGCCCCAAAGATTTTATTTATTGTCAAGTTTTGCAGAGAATGGAGTAATTCCCATGGGATCTGCTAGGTAGGTTAGTGGAATTAGAAGATTAATAAATCATAGACATATACTGTATGCAATATACTAATGTATATTGTGCATTATTTCATTAGCTCTTTGCAAAAGGTTGCCATCTTAGTCTGTTTTCTGTTGCTGTAACAGAATACCTAAGACCGGGTAAGTTATAAAGAAAATAAGTTTATTTCTTCCAGTGTTGGAGGCTAGGAAATGGAAGAGCATTGTGCCAGCATCTTTCGAGGGCCTCTTGCTATGTTATACATGATGGTAGATGAGAGCTCAACAAGAAAGGAAGTATGAAAGGCAAAGCTAGCTTTATAAAACCCACTCTGAGAATAACTAGCCCACTCCTAACATAAAGGCATTAATCCATTCATGAAGATGGAGCCCCTATGACCTAATCACTTCTTAAAGGCCTCACCTCTTAATACTGATACAATGGCACTTACATTTCAACAGGAGTTTCAGAGGGGACAAACAATCAAACCACAGCAGTAGTTATCCTGTTTTTAGAGATGACAAAAATGCATTTAGCAAAGTTACATGGACAGAAAGTGTCAGTCAGAAATCTACCCAGGATTGTCTACTCTAGCCCCTTAAGCACTTGTATCTCTCTATTACATCTCCACATTTAAAACAAAAGCTATGGCATATGAACCTACCCTGTTGAGGGGACTCTAGGGTGCTTGCTGTTTGAGCCCCTGAGAGAAGCCTCACATCCAGTGGAGCTGGTGTTGAGCCTCAGACTGCAAGAGGAGAAAGTGCACATCTGTTCGTCTTTAGCATGCATCATTGAAATCCTTGCAAGGAGTCTGGATGGAGCTGGTGTTCTTCCCTGTGCGTGACCTTAGGCTAGCCAGCAGCCAACAAGAGAGAAACACACCAAGGTTCCTGGGAAGGCTCAGAACAACTCTTTCCCAGAATTGCTTTTCCTGCCCAACTTAGTGTAAAAGGCAGGAGGTGAGTGGTGCATCCAGGGAGATGGCCTACATTGATACCTTCTTTGTGTCTCTTATTATCTTTAGGTTGTTACTGATGCCCTGCACAGACAGAGGTCTGTAAAGTGGCAAGCAGGACTCTGCTACAACAGAGGAAAGGATTTTGCTATATCTCTTGTCAGGCCCAATGCTGCAGAGGGGATTGGTAATGTACTTCATTTAATAATAGTGTTTTAAGAGATAACATTATTTCATCCTGTGGGGTAGATATGACCATCTTCATCTCACAGATGAAAAGAGACAAACCTGGGATTCAGAGGTACTTGCCTGTGAGTTTCTTACAGATTTCATCTTACAATCCAGGAATCCTGATTCTTGGGTTAGTCTCCTTTGCTATATGGGATGTTAGGCATGGCAATAAAAGATCTAAAAACTGGTTATTTGATGCTTGGACAAAGGCTTGGGGCATGGGCTTTGACCTAATGAAGTAGTCAATTCTAGTCTAATATTTTAAATGATTTAAAATGATTCCAGTTTATAAGCCCCATTCACTGTCTTCTAAGATGTGGATACACATTCCAACCTTCCTTAGCTCAAATGTGGACAAAACAAGAGATTACATGTGTTGATACTTTGTGAGTCATAGAAAATTCACATATACATAGGCAGGGTGGTTCTGTAATTAACCAAATCTTCAGAGGTCCAAAGTTAACAGTATCGACCATTCATAATTTAGCCATAAACTCAGACATTTTAAAAGCCTTGTGAAAATAGAAGTATACTTTTCAAATGTTACAGACTGCAAACACCAGTGTTCTATTGCCTAGAACAAGCGTAGCTTGTGAATCATCACAAGGCCTTGCACAAAGGAAGTCTAATGAGTATTTGTAGATTGAATTTAATGAATGAAGGCACAAACCCCTTGGCTCTCTTCCTGGGTTTCATGAAATCTTATTAAACACATTTTATTTCGAGAGCTTGGTTATTTACTTTTGTCTTCCAGCAGATTGAATATAAGTGACTTGGAAAAGGAAGACTAGTTGCTGGAAACACCTAAAATGTCAATAGAAGACTTGACAGCTTGAGAACAGAGGAAAAAATAAAAGCAAACAGACAAAAACAACCTTACCTCCCCCACAATATAACATTGGGTTGCTGAGCCAACAAAAATCTAAAATCAGTTTAGGATCCTCTGTTTAACTCATCAGAGAAATGCACAAAATATTCTAGAAAGGCTTGCACCTACAAAGATTACTTAAGAATGCAATGACACATTCAGAGGAGTTAAGTTACCAGTTATCATTTACTAGAAGGCTTTTTCTATAAAAATGTATGGAAGAGGTTCCTCTGAGCATTCAACTGGGCTTCTTCATAGGGTATGTGTACTACTTGGGGCTATGGAAGACCATGTCCTAGAAGCCCTGTGTCCCTGAGGCACACCTATGTGTGCTGTCTCTCTGGCATATTTTCCAACAAGTGTTCTTTTCTAGTCTATATATTCTGATTAATTTGTAATCAGAGGCAATGCAAAAAGCATTCTTTTTAAATCCTAATCTCCATAAGCTCCATTATGGTACAGCTGTCAGAAAGCACTTGCTCTGAAGATTTTCTTTACCATCAACTCTTAGAGCAAATTGTATAGATCTGCCACTGTCTATTCTGGTTTCAAGATTTGGTCTTACATCCTTTCTTTTCCTTTTGTGGTAAACAAAAGACAAAAAGAAATAAGCAAAAAAAAAAAATGGAAACAAAGGGACATTTATATCTATGTGTACACACACACACACACACACACACACACACACACACATATATATATATATATATAGAGAGAGAGATGTTTGCATGTATAGTTAGTGATATGGTTTGGCTCTTTGTTCCCTTCCTAATCTCATCTTGAATTGCACTCTTGTAATTCCTATGTGTTGTGGGAGGGCCAATGGGAGATAATTTGAATCATGGGGGCAGTTTCCCCCATACTGTTCTTGTAGTAGTAAACAAGTCTCATGAGATCTGACGGTTTTATCAGGGGTTTCTGCTTTTACATCCTCTTCATTTTCTCTTGCCACCACCATGTAAGAAGTGCCTTTCTCTTCCTGCCATGATTCTAAGGCCTCCCTAGTCACGTGGAACTGTAAGTTAAATTAAATCTCTTTTTCTTCCCAATCTTGGACATGATTTTATCTGCAGCATGAAAATGGATGAATACAGTTAGATAGATAATAGATACAGATATAGAAGTAGATATACAGGTATAGATTTAGTATAATGGTTTTTAGGAATGAATTATGAGCAAATTGTAGGATGCAAAAGACAGAAAGAAGCCTTATTTCTATGCTGAGTTTATCCATAGTCCTATGACATTGATAATTAACATTGTGTCAATTAATTAATGCAATTCACATGTATTAATTAGTGACTGTCCATATGTAAAGCCCTGAGATTGGCTGAGATGTAAATTTAATGTGTGGCTCTAGTATGAATGAATGAATAGATGAATTATGTTGATGTGGGTCATGGGGGTGGGGCATAGATTTATTGTGCTAAGCCATGAAGATTTCTTAGAGAGTTAATCACCAGACATAATGTATAATGTCAACAATAGACATAATGATGGATTAAAAATGTCAACGTTGGAAACAATGATAACAATACAGATAAGAGTTGCCTTTTATTGGACATCTGGTGTTTGGCTGAAATAACTCTTAACACTGTATGTATACTCACATAATAAATCCTCATAAGAGCACACAGAGACAGAAGTCATTAGCTGCTTATAATTGAACAGGAAACTGAGAATCAAGGAGGTTAACTCAAAATTCCAATTCACTCAGCTAGTAAGTAACAGAACAGGGATTTCACCCTAGGTCTGTTTGTCTTTAAAATCCATCCCCTTCTGCCCTTTCTCCTTGTTTCACCCTCCCCTGCCTTTTCTTCTCCCCTCTTCTTTTTCTCCTTCTCCTTTTCCTTCTCCTTCTTCTACTCCTTAAGGCTAGCTAACCTCACAGATGCCTTTTTTGATGCATTATTCATGATATCCTTTTCAAGAGTAAAATGATTCAAAATATCAGCATAAAAGTTTTTGATACCTACTTTTTGCAAAGCACCATGGCATAAAAACTTGCAATTTACACAAGAATGGAGCAATAGAGTACATGTTTGCTAAGTGCTTACGATGAATTAGGTACTATATATTTTATATTACCCCTTTTTTCTTCTCAATAACTGTTTATTTGATTCTCATTTTACAAGTGAAGGGATTGTGGCCAAGAAAGTATAAGGAAGAAGCTGGTGTAGAATCATGTATCCTGTAGAAACTCTGATTTGTCTAAATGTAACCAATCCAGGCAATGTCTTTAGCTGGGACAAGACACACTGAAAGGAGTGATGCTCTGAGCATCTCGGACGAAAGGACGTGAAGAGCCCCTGTGCTCAATCAGGCACACAGCCTCAAATGGAATGTTTTGGAGACATTCTTATATGGTATATGGCAGTTATAAATTCCAGGGGCCGTTTGACGATAGTTATCAAATGCATAAAAGAGATAATCTGCTGACCAAACAGTAACATTCCTATAAATGATAGGATAAATGCTAAAAAAAATGTATGTGTACAGTGATCCTCTTTGTGTATGCTTTTAAAAGAAATAGTAAACAAATACGGTATAAAGTAAAAGTAAAACTCAAATAATATAGACACTTCATAAATAATGGCATTGTCATACAATGGAATACAATGCAGCTGTTAAAATGATGATTTACATCCATTCTGATTGACATGAAAACATGTCTAATGTATAGCCCAGATAAGAAGCATTTCATTGGTGACAACACAGACAAAAAGACAAAACCGAAAAAAAAAAAAAAAAAAAAGAAGCAGCATTTCAAAACTATGTATTAGGACTGGGCATGGTGGTTTACACCTATAATCCCAGCACTTTAGGAGAGCAAGTTGGGGGAACACATGAGCCCAGGAGACCAGCCTGGGCAACATAGTGAGATCCTCTCTCTTAACAAGATTTATATATTAGATACTGAATAAATCCATATTTCTACAATTAACACACACACACACACACACACACACACACCTGAAAAAATGTGTATGAACCCACAACATTATTTTTGATTAGCTTTTAGTTGTGGGAATAAGAAGAATATGTACTTCTTTCTTAAAATTTTCCCCAATTTTTTGTTTTCCAATAATATAAACTAATATTTATTGAATGCTTACAGTGTAAAACATAACTTTACACGTTTTTCATTTTCACAATAATCTGTATTTTAATCTTATGTAACCTGAAACACAGAGAGGCTGATAGTCTGCCTAAGAGAGTGGCAGAGCTGAAATTTAAGTAGATTTTCTGCTTCTGCAAACTCATGCTTCTAACTACTATTTTATACTATAATTGCTACTTAACAATTTTGACATTAAGAAGTACAAATGAACAACACTAATAAAAAAACTTAAAATCTTTGCTTTCCAGAAAATGCAAAATTATCTCTTAATTCTATACAACATAATAAATGGAATTTCAACTATTTCATCATTTAAAGGCCTAGGCATTCTTCATTTTCAGGTATCTTCATTTCTTTATTTCTGACAATATGTCTTTCAAAAGATACTTAAAATAGATATTGTCTAATGTTTCTTCAACCCCTGGGAAACATTGCCTCACAAAACTATCATCCAAGATGTCATGGGATGTTTTAAGAGGCAGAGTATGTGGTTTTAGTGGTGGTATTGTTGTTTATTTTTGTAGCGGAATTTATGGATTGCCAAGTGTCAAACTCATAAGTTTAATTGCAATTTAACTTCCAAGCCACAGCCTTCAAATGTATTAGGCACTTTATAAGACATAGTAATGTTCCCCTGAGACCTCACCACCCTGTGGGCTGCCCTATCATGGTACTTATCATGGCTTCTAAAGCAGCTTGGCTTTTTCTCTACATGTCTCATTAGACTGAAAGCTAGATCTGTCTTGCTAACTACTGGCATCCTCAAAACCTAAACACTCAGGCTCTTCTTACATCTGTTAGTTCCTAGAATCAGGAAGCCCTCAAAATTCTAGTATTGAATGCAGGGTGCCTCTTCTCTCCTATCCCCCTTAAAGCTATTTTTTAAAAATGTGTAGAGTTTCTGCATTCTGTAAATAAAGATGAAATCTATCTCTTGGAGGAGGCTTTTAGATGTGCCTCTGTTACCTTAGAGATATAGGTAAATTATCACTTATTCTTCTAAGGAAAGTTTAGAACCAAAGTAATAATATAGAGGGTTTGTCCTCAGTCTAGAATGTAAGGTTCTTAAACAAAGGATATTCATTTTAAGCAGAAGACATATCTCAGGGTTGATGATGATGCTGACTTTAATTTTTTCAATCTTCTGGTGGGGTTAAGAGATAGCAAGAGTTAAGGCAACTTGAGAAAAGTAACTTTTCTCCTGTGACACCTCAAATGCTAAGGAGAAAAGTGACCATGGAGGTGTCCTGTAAATAGAAATGCTCTATACTTAAGGAGGAGATACATTGTATCCAGCTCTGGGTTTTAATTTATGCATTTTCATTCTTTTGTATCATGCTCAAGCCTTGGTAAAGTTTGATAAAGTTGAGTGTTTTGTCTCAGCTGATGGAAAAAAAGTTGAGGGCATTGACCTGGAGTGAGAGATGAAGAGCCCAGCTAAGACAGATTTGTGGAACATACAATCACTTCCTAAGGATTCTCAGAAGTATGTGAGAAACAGGCAAGGCTTCCTGCATACTCAGTATTGGGACCTGGATCACATTATTTGGAGGCAAAAGGGAAAGCTGCCCCAAGAAGGATAGAGGACATGGGGTCACTTGGCTTACATTTGGTTTAGGAAATTTAAGTTTTCTATAGGATAAAGAGAACGGGGAAGATATCTATCAAACATTTCATACTCACAATTAACTGAATTAGTTATTTATTCCCAAATCACTGTAGCTTTACAACTATAACTTGATTTCCAATATTCCCAAAGACACATCATATGGTAAATATTTTATAGAGTTAAAATATCTTTGAAAAAACATAGGTTTTCTGAATCCTGATATTGTGGCAATTTCATCAAAGCACAATGAAGTTCCAGCTTGGAAAAATAAAAACCATGATCAGAAAACTGTCCTCATGAACCAAGCTCAGTCCTTGCATCTCCAGCATAACTGAACAATCCCCATGCATTTCTAAGAACAGATTGCAAACAGACATCCCAAGAGGACATTTCAACACATCACCAACTTGGAAACAATGACTGGAAATGTCAGCTGGCAGAAACTTTTAGACTCGTGGGATGGGAAGGACCAGCCATAGGCCCATGTCTCTTAGATTGAGAGTGGTGAACCCAAGAATTTGAGAAGCAGGAATAAAAGAACAAGCCCACTAGTCTTCTCCTCCATGATTATGCGTGATTACTACAGTGTCTCCTTATTCTTCCAAAGGATTGCTGTCTTTGGCAAAGCCAAGGATTTGAATAGGAAAAGGAGGTGATTGATGGTCCAACTGATAGGATTTCCAGAGCAGAGCTGAAACCTCTGAGTACTGACTCTGCCTTCTTAACTTCTCCCTTGCCACCTCCTCCTTAACTGATGGCCAGTGGCCAACTGAGAGTCCCAGCCAGGGAAAGCCATTTCCTCTCCCCAGCATGTCTGGAGAGAATCATCATCTCCTGTACCCATCTCTCAGGTGTATTACAATGTCAGTATTACAATCTGAGAGTCTCCAGTGAGTCTCAG